ACCGACAATGTTTTCTTGAAGTATTCCTGAGCCCATGTTGTGTTTTCCATTACAGTAGCATTCCTGTATGTGATGCAGTGCCGTCTAAGGGCCCGAAGATCACGGGCATCCAGTATGGTTTTCCGGCCTTGACCCTTACGCACAGAGATTGTTCCAGATTCTCAGAATCTTTTGATGATATTATGCACTGTAGATGATGATATCTTCAAACTCTTTGCAATTTTTCTCTGAGAAACTCTTTTCTGAATTGCTCCACTATTTTTCGCCGCAGCATTGGGGGAATTGGTGATCCTCTGCCCATCTTGACTTCTGAGAGACACTGCTACTCTGAGAGGCTCTTTTTATACCCAGTCATGTTGCCAATTGACCTAATAAGTTGCAAATTGGTCCTCCAGCTGTTCCTTATATGTACATTTAACTTTTCCGGCCTCTTATTGCTACCTGTCCCAACTTTTTTGGAATGTGTAGCTCTCATGAAATCCAAAATGAGCCAATATTTGGCATGACATTTCAAAATGTCTCACTTTCAACATTTGATATGTTATCTATATTCTATTGTGAATAAAATATAAGTTTATGAGATTTGTAAATTATTCCATTCCTTTTTTACTCACAATTTGTACAGTGTCCCAACTTTTTTGGAATTGGGTTTGTATATACGTGCTTAAATGTATGTGTGTGTGTGTGTGTGTGTGTGTGTGTGTGTGTGTGTGTACATATATATAAAGAGTGTGTGTGTGTGTGTGTGTGTGTGTGTGTGTGTGTACACATATATGAACATTAAGGGAACATTCCATTTGATCATTTATCACTTTTATCATTATGAGAAAATTACTTTTGATGTTCTCTGAAGGTTCTTAAAAAGTAGTAATATTAATGTTTCAGGGGAAAAACACATTCCATGAACAATATATAAGACATTATTAAAGACCTAAATTGTGGTGGTTAAAACCAACATACTAAACCACTTATACACATAAAAGTACACATTTAACTAATTGGACCTTTGAAAACCTATGGTTACTGAGATGGTTACCTTGTGAAAACTTACATCTCCACTATTTTATTTTATTTTATTTTATATTATTATTATTATTTTATTTATTACTTAGGCTAATTATTTTTTTACTTACAGTGGGGAAAACAAGTATTTAGTCAGCCACCAATTTTTTTTTCTCATTTTGTCTCTCATAGTTGAGGTATACCTATGATGAAAATTACAGGCCTCTCTCATCTTTTTAAGTGGGAGAACTTGCACAATTGGTGGCTGACTAAATACTTTTTTCCCCCACTGTACTTACTTACCAGGTATAGAAGCGTCCAGAATACAATGAAACATAAATAACCCTTCAGAAACATAACCCTTTCTCACCACTCCATTTTTGAATAGTTTAACTGTAACCTATAATTGGCCATTTGACTCCATCACTGTTTGAAAGATGTCAGACAGTAGCAGACAAAAAATGTTGCCCCCGTAAAACCTGCATTATTATGATACAATACGGCAGCGAAAAGGTTTACAGTGGAAAATTCCTTGCCACAGGCACACAAATGGTTCCCAGAACTAGCCATTTAAGAGGATGGAGGAATGAGGATTAAAAAACTATGCCTGCCTCCCCTTAAAGCAGCATTGCAGGAGCTAGTGTGATCCCTGTGACCTGGACTATACTGGACTATCTCTATATTACCTAAGACAGGATGATTTTTTTATTTTTTCAAATCAAGCGATCATATGCATAATATACACAATTTTAGCTGTCACATCTCAGATAGCGTTATGAAACTGGACGCTTTTATGTTTGGACTTACTGTCACTCACATGCCATATTATCTCAGCCAAATCCACTTGTTAACAGCTTGTTATTGCTTTTTATATCTTAAACAAACCAGGTGACTGAAGTTGATGTGTGTAAAATCCTTTTTTCCCCTGAAATATTCAAAACCTCATATTTATCTAACTCGACCTGAGCCCCATGAGCAAAATGAGAAAATCCAAAGAAAATATAAGGCATGCTGACTGCTGTGCAGGCTCTTCACCTACTGTGGGGTTTGATGGGGTCTGCCAGAGTGCAGGAGTGCTCCACAGTTTGTGGTTAGTTGTAGGGAACGTGCATAAGTTTCCAGAGCTGAGTTAGACTTGTTCACAGTAAGTGCACTTGAGTGAGATAGATGTCATGTGCATGTGGTTCTAGATGAGTGGGTCCACCAGCAACCCAAAACTTCATCTTATTCAGTTGGCCCCAAGACTCTGACATGCAAAGCTCAGATTTCATGTGCAATATATGTGCAAGAGTAGATCTCAGTGTGTTTATTAGTGTGATACAGTGCCAAAAGTCTTGAAAACACAGATTAGGCTCCCTATCTCACACTTGAAATACATGCTTGCAAAGTAAATAATATAGTCAGTCAGGCCAGACAGTCTGTTTTATTTTGGTTTTGGTTTTCTTAGGGTTTATTTTGCGATAATGGCCAGCTGACTGTACATTATCCTGCTTAATTGTTATCTCAAATCAATAAATAGCCTACACTTCACAAACATCAAATTTCTACCCAGGTGGGCCAGAGTCAATGTACTGTTCAGGGGGCCCAGAAACCACAGCAGCACTCCTTGAAACTATAGCACTGGATTAGTTATTGTAATATCAGTATGATAAGTCACAAGAAAAAGCAAATAGAACCCATTATTCCAGAAACATTCTTTACGCAAATATGCAAGTCTTGGTCAGCAGTCGTAGCCTACTGTATTTGCTGTTGTTAAAATTTAGCAATAAATTCTATAATTTGCTGGCCAAATGCTTGCGGATACATTTGCGCACTTGTGTTAGTATAGAGCTTTTCACACTTAAAATAGTTAACCCTGGGTCATTCTAAATGAGTAAATGGAATCCTGGGTTATCTTGTTTCATGCTTCCCAATGTTCATAATTTATCCAGGGTTAACCATTAATTCTGGATATTCATAAATTCTATTTCTAATTTAATTTATCTAAATTCTAAACCCTGGGTTATTATTCTTCTTTGCATATTTGCCGTGTCATTGTCACTGATTGGACAAACACAGCACGCGATATGTTTACATAACAGGGCTCTATCGCTGTGCATTATATTATAGACTGCCGACTGTACTGTCAAGTTTTCCTGAAAGGACTTTTTGAACCATAAAGGTAAGAAAGAAGCGGTCTCTTCATCACTCCAACTGATGCTTTTTCCATAGCCATTTGATATGTTTCCCTTCAAACGTTGAAGTGTTCATGCCACAGGCACACAAATGGTTCCCAGAACTAGCCATTTAAGAGGATGGAGGAATGAGGATTA